CTTATCAGCTAATTTTACCAAACACTTTTATCATATAAGCTAGCTTATCAGCTATAAGTCATAAACTATAAGCTATAAGCTAAAAAATTAGTGATAAGCTATAAGCTAGCTTATCAACTATCAGCTAGCTTATCAGCTAGTTTTACCAAACATAGCCTATATTTAAACACCTTAACTCACTACTTCCTCATACGTCGATGGTGTGCACTAGGGTGTTTAAATAGCAAAATTTCTTGCTTGAGGTTTCGATAATGCATGTTATTGATAAGGGTTGGAAAAGATGGTTGCAGCTTTGCATAAAAGCTGAACTTAGGTGTACACTTGCATTATTTTATCATAGCATGTCACTTCGAGTTTGAATATTTTGACCAAATAATTTCATTAGAATGATCATGAATAGGCTAATACACATGCTCTTCAAAACAACAAGGAACTTATTAGTGTATGCTCAGATGCATTAATAGAAGTAACTGTTACGCATAGGTGCAACACCAAAATTTGTTATTAGGTAGACAGATGTAACAATCTTCTTTATTGGGGCACTTGAGATATGCAGAGAGCTAATTAAAAGGTGAAATCGGTATTCATACACTGATATTTGAACATAAATAAACTTTATTACCAAATTTGTATTTGCATTCCCACACAATTTCTATTCATAGTCTGAACCAATTGTGCACTGCAATATACCCTAGGCCGACCTTTGGTCTCAGAGAGGATAGTCAAATGGGTGATGGAGCTCGGAGAATACAACGTCAAGTTTGAAGTCATGAGAGCTATTATGTTAGATTTCATATTCTAGACGTGATTTAGTAGGCCTAATTTTTTCCTCATCTTTCTTTTAAAATTATGAACAAATTAACACCTTAAATTGTAAGTAGATCTAAAAATTAATAAAAAAATTATTTATTATCATTTTTTACCACATAATATATCAAATTAATAATATCTTGACGAGCTTCGATTTGACACTTATATTGTACATACAAAATAAATTAATAATTATATTTATCTTTATAATAAAAAATAGATTACCTTTTAATATTAGTTAAAAAAAATTTATTTAAATCAATTTAACTACATAGTTGTTAAATGATGTAATTTAAAAAAAAAAATATAATATAAGAGGTAAGTCGTATAAGCGATGATTGTTATTTTAAATATAAATAGTAATATCGTTATTAAAAAAAAGTATTTGAAAATTAGATTAATTTTTTTGTTATTATTTTTTTATTTTAAATATAATTTTTTTAACAAACACCCGTGTAACAAACACCTGTTTAATATTATACTAGTGACACATAGGGGTAAGAAGAAGTTTAGAATTGAACTTAGCAAAAAAATCTCTCCCATCATTTTTTGTTAAATATTTTGTTAATATTTTATTTGATTTGGGAAAGTAAAATTTCAGGGAGTATAAAGGGCTTTCGAAAGTTCAGCTCTTCCTCTACATTTGCAATTTTGTCATTTCACTACGATTACGGCTCCTTGATTGTAAATCTGTGTACTACATGATGTTGGGGTTTGAGGACTGTGGGAAGCTTCTGCGACTCCTCAATGGAGGAGACGAGAAAGCGTTCGACGAAATCATGGCGGATTTCAAATCTAATTTTGCAGGCTCACTCCAATTCTACGCCTGCTCCGCTTTAGACATTCTCACTTCGAGCCCTAAGGTTTGGATTTTTCATTTCTTACTTTTCGGCGGCTTTACTTGAGCTCTTTGATTGTCTGATGGTGCACCTATGGTGATTTTACGGAGTTGGGATCAGTTTTTGAAGCTATTTGATGAATTGACTTGAGAAGTGTTGAAGTTTTGTGACCTGTTGTGGGGTTGAATTTGAGCACTGCTGTTGCTTTTGCACCTCGAATTTGCAATCTTTTTACCTTTTGTTCATGTGGGTCATTCATGCTGTATTTACATTTGAATGATATGTTTCAGATTTGAATTTTTGGTGTTAGTTAAACTAATTTATTAACTTTTTGGTTCATAGAATCAATTGTAATTTAAGGTGTGCTTCTAAATATCATGTTGCTGCAGGATAAACTTCTAACTTACATCAACAAACTTCTAAGCTTGTTGATGTAAGTTTACCGTGTCAAGTTGCGTAATCTTTCAGGATATAGTTTAATGGATAATAGCACTTCATTCACGTTTCCCTTTATTCCGTTAAGATTTTTCTTTTATTACTTACTTACCCGTTGTTCATGTGGGTCATTCATGCTGTATTTACATTTGAATGATATGTTTCAGATTTGAATTTTTGGTGTTAGTTAAACTAATTTATTAACTTTTTGGTTCATAGAATCAATTGTAATTTAAGGTGTGCTTCTAAATATCGTGTTGCTGCAGGATAAACTTCTAACTCCAGCTCAGCGGTTGGTTGCTTTTGCAATCATTTATCAGGCATACGCTTCGCAGGAACCTTCATCAAATCCTTTTATTTCTAAGCTTGTTGATGTAAGTTTACCGTGTCAAGTTGCGTAATCTTTCAGGATATAGTTTAATGGATAATAGCACTTCATTCTCGTTTCCCTTTATTCCGTTAAGATTTTTCTTTTATTACTTACTTACCAGTTGTTGGTTTATAAACTGTGACTTCTGTTAATTAGCATTGATGAGATTTATGTCTTGTGAGTTGTTATACCATTGATTGACTGTTTTATCCATTTGCAGGCAGCATGTGATGATGCCGCCGAGAAGTATGAAAAAGCATTCGTTCTTCAATTGTTGGGGTCATCCAGCAGTAATGGTGGCAAAGAGGTTCCATTCGTTGTTTCATTTGTTATTGTCTTTGACCTCTGCCATCTCAAATATTTTGTTCTAAGCAAGTTACTGAAATTTTATATTTGATATATAATCCAATTCGGATTCTATTTCTGTTTTGTTTTGTGTTGCTTATGCTCTAGTTTAACTCAGCAAAAGCATTCTTGCAACATCCTAAATAGTTACGAAGATTTATTAATTTGATACTGTCATGGCTTACTTAGGAACAGAGTCGAATTGAAGATTTGATTGTTGATTTAACCTGATAACTTAGAAATGTACTCATAGTCAAACATAAGAGGAAAATGTGTACTCCAGCTGTCTGCAAACTTGTAATTCATAGCCCATTTGTTATATCTTATGCGTGGATTGCTGGATACTATGTAATTTTTATTGAATAAAAAACGTCATTTGGCCTCCAGGTGAAGTCTTTAAAATCAAGGCCTATACTCGGGCTACTTCTTCTATTCATGCTTATGGTGGTTTATATTAAGCTTTGGAAAGTCTTCCTTTGTCATGTGATATAGAAGTCAACAACATTTGATATTTGCAGTAATTATTCCATGGTAACTTCTATTTTCTACAAGTGATGGCAACTTCTTCCGTGCAGCTTCTCAAACAATCTGCAGCAGATTATATTAAAAGCTTTGACCTTTCAGCACATGTAAGTTATACACGTCTTTTTCCTTTTCTTATCCATGCTGATAGTATTGCTCATAAGTAACCCGTGGAGTTTCTCTGTCACCTTGAGAATATTTTTTTTTAATGTAGATGATTTTTTCTGTCACTTTTCAACTTTTCAGTCCTTTCCGTCAAGGGATCATTTGCAGCAACAATATTGTGGAAAAAATCTGTCAGAACCATTGAAATCTTTTTTCAAGGACAAAACTGTAAAAGATGTATTTCCCGATCCTGATGTACCCCGTGGATGCAATAGCGATTCGATCGAGTATGTCCTTTGCTACTGCATCCATGTGATGTTACTGTGAAAGTGCTTGTTATGTGGGTCCATTATTTATCCATTTTTTACCTTTTCATGTGATAACACATTCCAGGTTTGATGCACCACCTGGGATTACACCTAAAATTGGATCTGGGAATAGGGATGAAACTATTTCTGGATTATTGTCTTCTTGTTCTTTGGAGGGACTAGGTCCACAGTGGATCCGGCCTTCTCCTCCTAGGTTCCCAGTAATGGAAGGAGAGGTAAACTTTTCGAGCACGATATTTACTAGTTGTTATATCGTCCTTACAGATCATGAGAAGTATTATTTTCACCGGTTCTATATTTGATAAATTTTTGATAAATTTTACGTATACTTTTTGACACTAGTTTGGTTTTATAAATAGCTATTGTGGCTGAATCCTGATATGAACCATGAGCTCTTATGGGACTATGGCATGTGTGCTGATACTAGTAGAGGAGCAGCAGTTAGAGATTTAATCGCAAAAGCTTTGAAAGGTCCACTTGTTCCTGTGCAACAAGAGGTGACCTTTTCTTGATGGTCTCTAAATGTTACAGAAGATTTTGGCATGTTCTTCTAGAGTATTTAATATACTTAGTTCCTTAAGGATATGATTTTAATTGGGCCTCATGGTTAATTTTTTTTATCAAATAATCACGCTTTTTTAATTGGATGGGGATAATGTAGTCTTAGTAAAAAATTGTAGATTTGAAGTGCATTCCATACCATAAATGATGAGATATGAGCAAATAAAAGAACTTTTCATGCGTGTTTTCTGTTGAAATAATTAGGTGTTAAAAATAGTTCTTTATGAACAAGTTTTATTATTGCAAAATATATGTAGCTTTTGAATTGTATTTGTATTTTCTGCTAAACATTACTGTGGCTGTCCCTTACTATCACTATTGCATTTAGCTAGAAGGTTCTGTGGGCTGTCAATGATACCTATAAGCCATTATGTTGGCATTTCTCTGGGATAAGTGGAAAGAATTTTTATGTACTTTTGGTACTTCAATTATATAGGTAGGTATGCTTTTAGTTTTGCATAATTACAACTAGTTGAATTGGACAGTGGTTAATCTTCGATGAGGTTGTACTTTTAACCATTTCAACAGTGCATAAGTCTTAAGTCTTCAGGTGATTTGAATACTGTTATTTTGTTTAATGAAGTATGAAACTTGTCCTTTTATTATTGAGATAATGTGGGTGATATTTATTTTTATGCAGCAAGTCTTGGTTGAGTTGGCGAATGACCCAAAGCTTGTATATCATTGTGGACTGACACCTAAAAAACTTCCAGTATGTGGTGTTCTTCTATATATATTCCCCTGAGATTAAAAAACCTTCTCTGTATACACATGTGCATACACTCACACACACACACATATATATATGTATGTATGTATGTATGTATGTATGTATATATATTTATATATTCTGATCTGGGACTATTCGCAGGATCTAGTGGAGAACAATCCTATGATTGCTGTTGAAGTTCTCATTAAATTAGTGAATTCACCTGAAATATCAGAGTAAAATCTTGTTCATTTACTTTTGGTTTTATTGATACTTTGGAGTACTCCCTCTGTTTCATTGTATCTGCCACATTTTAGGAAAAAGATGTATTTCACTTTGTCTGTCACTTCTGAAAAACCAAGACGTTTGAATTAACCCCAAATTCTTGTGTGAGGCAGCCTAACCATTAGGCAGGTCGACTTGTTGAACTTTGAACAAAAATGCATACTTGTACCATCAAATTTTATACTTTGTCATACTTCTGTTTATGATGTTTTTTAAAGTGTGACATTTTTTAATGAATTTATGGATATTTGTGAAAAGGAATATGCCTGCCTAACACAAGACCTGCAGTTAAATTACATATTATCTTGAATGTAATGTGTGATAGTAATTGTCACAATGTATATTTTGTTTTCCTAATGGCAATAATTTAGTAGCCTATCATTTGATTGGAGAGCTATTTATTGAATTTGGAAATGACTGAAACTCAACATCATTTCATTTAATTTTAGGAAACATAAGAACATCAATAATTATTTTACATAATATGTGATAAAACCCACGATGAATAGAATGAAGCAGGGCCACTTTGCATGTTTTTTTTATTTGCCATTTTTTTTTACCGCTAATTTTTTATTTTTTATTTTTGGCCAATTTCTAAAAATTTCAGATACTTTACGGTACTTGTAAATATGGAGATGAGCCTTCACTCGATGGAAGTTGTGAACAGGCTGACTACCACAATTGAACTTCCCACCGAATTCTTGCACACTTACATATCAAACTGTATAAGTGCTTGTCAAGGCATCAAGGTTCACTATTCTATTACCTTTTCTCTTCTTTTTTTTTTCCCCTCTTATAAAAACGGGGCCTATTGTCTGTCGTTTCATCTCTGGATGCTTACTAGTTAACATAATAATGCTTTCCAGGATAGGTATATGCAGAACAGGCTCGTGAGATTAGTTTGTGTTTTCCTTCAGAGCTTGATCCGGAACAAAATCATCAATGGTAAACATTTTGGAATCAATTATCTTTTTTTTTTCCTGAAAATTTAAATTAAAAAAAGAGAGAAAACTCGGTATTTGGCATGCTCCTACATGTCACGAGCAATATTACATGAATAAATTTGGCATAAACTGATTTGCGAGAAAATGCTGGAAGATTTGAGTTTGCAAGGTCTTTTGTTGTTGCAGTTCACGACATCTTCATTGAAGTACAAGCATTCTGCATCGAGTTCTCCCGGATTAGAGAAGCAGCTGGGCTGTTTCGCCTTCTTAAATCCTTGGAATAGAATAGAATTGTCTTTGATTTTATTTTTTCGCTACATGTTCACTATCGGATAATCTAAAATGAAAAGTTGCACATATTTTCTTGTTTCTGGATAATACCTTCTTTGTGTGAAGGTGAAAAACTTGCATCCTCGTAGTGTATTAACTATCTTTTTTTTTTTTTTTTTT